GCTGAAAGCTGTTGCTCCCGCTAGAAAGCTATTCTTGGTGGGTTGTGAACCAAGATAAGAGATCCACTGCTTAGCGGTAAGCAGAAAAGGCACCAGATGAAACTCTAAATACTATATTTTTAAGTTTAAGACCATTTTAGTAGTAACAGGGATTAAACTTTCATAATGGTCTCAAAAACATATCCAGGAACTCCAGTCTCCTTGGAAGTTGTAAGTGGGAGTTAACCTACTAAAGTTAATTGGCATTAAATTGTAGGCTCTCTTTCTGTCTATATTTATGAATAAAATGTAAGGGATTGATGTACACCTTGGTCAGCAACAAAGTTTTAATGCATGGAATGATAGTGCTCAGTGGGAACCCTCAGTTTTTGCTCTGGTCGCCTGGGTTAGAGGGAATTAACTAACTTCCCTTGTGTGAGTCTCTACTTGCACGTGCCTCCTTTTCCCTTCATGTCTTAGGTGAGGTGGTTTCACCGCTGAAAAGCATCAGCCTACCTAATCTGGGAATGCTGTTGCTGGAGATGGCACCTGGGGTAAATTAGAGGGTTCAGATAATACAATTAAGTTTCCTTTGGAGCCTGAGAAAGTACAGCTTCTGTCTGTCTTGGTATAGGGAAGTTGGGGGGGGGGGGGGGTAAGTATATTCCTGCTCCTGGATGTTTTCTTACAGAGAACAAAAATACCTAAGGTTTTCCCTCTCTGGAGTGCAGGGGTGGATTTTTGTTCTGATGGGCGAAGTTACTCCTTTTTTTTTTTTTTTTTTTTTTTTTTTTTTTGTCATCTCTGGCTGGGGATGAAGAAGTAATGCCAGCAAGGGGGAGTATCTGGTGGCTGTTGGAGTAGATGGTATTTGGGGCATGGGTATTTTGCAGGTTCAGGAAAAAAAGGAAGACAGGTATATTGTGACATCTGTAGTATATTTTTTCCTTTAGCCATTACTTTTAATGAAGGTCCTAGGGGGATATTTGATTTCTGCATGTCTTCACTGTTAAGTGCTTGTTGTTGGGAAATGGAATTGGAAGCTGTAGATGTCCTTCATAAAAAGACAAATGCAAATTAAGATCTAGACTTTTAAAAAAAGGAGCAACCAACCACAAGGGGGAAAAAGAAAATAAAAATCTGTGTTGTGGTGTAAGTTTTCACTCGTACTTTTATTTCAGCAAAATTAAGTTGCCTGATTATGTGACTGCTGTTCTGGAATATTGCTTTATCCTCTTATCTGGGGGGAAGAAAATAGAACCTGTTAATCTAAAAATCTTTCTACTTAGTTATATAACTATTTCTTAAAAATAGCTCCAGATTGCTGGGAAAGATAGATACTACAAGGAACAAAATTTCTCTTTTGTTCAGTTTCTGCTCTTTTATATAGAGCATCCACATTTTATGCCTGCTGTTTTTTACTACTCTGTGGTGGCCAGTTGCATGTTACATGTACTTGTACAGTAGCATATAAACATCCTGTGGCACAGTTCTCTATCAGATACGGTATGTGTATAGTGGTAATAATAACCACCAAAGTCGAATGTTGAAGAGCTACACAAAGAGAAGGCATTGAGGATGGGGTATCTTTTTGTGTGTGTGGCAGTTACTGCTGTGGAAGTTTAACTTAGAAAATGATTATTTAGGCCATCGTTTATGATGTGTTTCTTGAAATCACAAATTTGACTGTGGGGGTGTGTGATATCCTTGGGATAAGGAGGCAAAATTTGTAAATTTTATGTAGTTCATAAATTTATTGTATTCTGGTAAATCAAGTTCATCCTTTTAAAACATTCTTCCATATTAACATGCTCAGTTTTTAATCTGAAGAGATGTTACATAAGTTAGGTTAGCCTTTGTCTTTGTAGATTGATTTAGCAGATGGCCACTGAAAGTTTGGACCAAGAGCAGTCATAGATAACTTGTTTCCAGTGAGTGATAGAGAGTAAAAGTTTTCTCCTGGATTAACCTGCTGTTTACTTTAGCCTCTCTGATCAGACAGTCTGTGACATCTTTTCTGCTTCAGCTAAACACCCCATAGCATTGTATTTGCCTCGTGCTTTTAATGAATTGGTACTTTCACATTTGTTTAACATTGGCATCTGGAATAACTGAATACAGTATGGAAAATGGAATAGACTCTTGCAGTAGTTGACTCTGCTGTAAGTATTTTTCTCTGCTGAATAACCTTTTCCTGTGAACTGTCTTTCACCTGCTGCTCTTTGAACTGTGTGCAACTTTGTTAAAGCTGTCCTTGTTACACAGGACTGATAGGTGACTTCATTTTGGAGTGTCAACATCCCACCTCTATACAGCGCTGGTCGTTACATTCCCCTGTTAAATCATCTTCATGATTCTCTGGGCTTCATGTGAGCGAGCTAATTTGACACAGATCTGGCTCAAGAGTAGGAAGTTATTAAATTTGTTTGAAGTTATTTCTGTTATGGACTTGTAGATTCCCCATCTGAGTATTATTAGCCTAGATATTGCTAGGCAAACTGCCACTTCACAGAAATATTAGTAGGCAGTACTAGATTGTATTAAATCTTAATCAGTTGTGTTAAGATCCCTTAAGCAGGATGGCCCTACTTGGTGCATATGTGATATGTTGGGGGCTTAGAGATTTTCATCTTTTCTTTTTTCTCTCTGCATGTATATATCTAGTGCATGATAAAACTTCAGTTTTATCACAGCAAATCCCAGGAGTTTTATGTCGCATTTGCTTTGTACAGTCTCCCTGAAGTCAACTGTTGCAAAACACAAAATGTTGTTACAAGTTTTTGTTAAGCTTTATTTGTTGAAACACACAGTAAAGTTTTTATTATTTGAGACTTGTGATGACTTGTAATTGTTATTGCCAAACAGCTAGTTTAAAGGAACTTTTTTTTTTAAGCAGAATGTGGATCATTTTACCGATCTGTTCTTGCACAAAAACCCCAGCTATGTATTTCAGGGGAATGTTTATTAATTTTTAATGAGAGACGGTTTGGATAACAGGTCGTTCTACCAAATGCCTTTTAATTTTGGTTAATATTGGGAACTTTAACCTCAGGCCTGAATGCAGTGGAACACAGGAGAAAACTAACACTTTCTGCCGAGCTTGTCTCTTTCCTGTATAGTGGTTTTTAAACTGATAATGTATGATCTCCAAAAAAGCAAATGTATAATCTCCTTTGTGTGCTTCATTCTGGCACTGATTCTGGTTTGATCACTTGTGTAATTCTGTGGGAAGATACTCAAATTGCCTCTTGTCATCTAACAAGTGATGGAGCTAGGAATTTTGGGTCTTGAAATGGCTACTGGAATGCCGAGATTCATCTCCCCTGAGCACTACAAATCATATAAAGGTGCTGTCCTTCCATGTGATCCACTGTATCATTTAATTGCTTGTCCTTGTTGCTGGAATCTAACAACTTAACTGTTGGGTTTTCGACAAGTCTACTATCTTGGAAGGTGTGGTGGGAAGCCTGGTGTTGGTGTACAGTGATGACTTCTCAAGTATGGGACAGCACATCTTAAATCAAAGCTGAAGAGTGTCTCCTGTGTCCTAATGTGAGTTGGTCAAAGAACAGTCTTCTAACAGAGTATTTCAGTACCCTAACTACTATAACCAAATTCAAAGTAGTAACTTTCACAGGGCATGTTCCTTATCAATACTGTATTCTGGGGACACAGGTAAACCTCAATGAAGCAAGGCAACCTTTTATGTGGTAATCTGATACTTAAATAGTATGAAAATAGAGAAATATGAGTAATTTTCATTATAAGTAGATACTTCTGCTCAGTGAAAAGGTATAATTTTCTCTTGTTCAGTGACAATCAGTTTCTGTATTAAGCTTTGTTAACCAAACTTTAGAATATCCTTGTTTCCCACTGCCCCCTTTTTCATATTATTTGAAAGGTGAGGGTGTTATCCTCACTTCTTACACTAAGTAGGATTGTTGCTACCTTATTACCTCTCTGGCAAACAAGGGAGAAGGTGAGTTTGCCAGAACGGTTGTGGAAATGAATGTGCAAATGGAAACAAAGAAAGTCATGAACTGTAGAGGAGGGTAGTAAAGATGGTACCAACTGGCCAGTTCATAGTAAGTTAGATGGAATATGTTAGTCAAGCTTCTGTTAAATTATTTCCATACATACGTAGTATTCCTCTTGTTTGTAAGGATGTCCGAGAAGCTGTTTACCTTTTGCTGGAACACAACCCTTACCTCTGCATTTCCTTCCTTGGATAAGTGTGTATGTTACCCTGGTACTTCAGTGTATAGCCTTTACTCTTGTCAACACTGCTTTCTGCTCTGTTTACTAAAAATCCTTTAAACTCCCTTTGTAGTATCTTTTTATTTCTGGGGGTTGTAGGAGGCCTGTGAGGCTGACCTACCATTTGTTCTTCTTCTATCTCTCTGCAATAACACAGCTTAGGGGTAGGAGCTTTTACCAGTATTTCATCATGCGCCTTACTCTGATACGATGCTGTTTGAAGAGAAGCAATATAAGCAACAAAATCGCATCGGTTTTTGAAGATTCTGTCTCAGCTGCAACCTCTTAAGTTTGTGTTATTCAGGGTTGGACTTTTTGTACTTTGTGAATTACTTTGATTATAAGTGACTTCAACCTCTAAAATGAGCGAGTTTGTAGGTATGACTTGTGTTCTTTTGGTATGCAACACAGTAGATTACAGAAAATTGTACAGGAATTAGTCTGAAATAAAGTAGAACTGACTTGGAGTTTGCTATCCACTTCTTAATATAAACCATTTCTGGTCGACACTGTTTTTGCTTTGAAGACATAGATGTGACACAGGCAACTCATTTTACTGGTGGTAAGTATTTTAGTACTTAACATTGTCTTATTTTAAACTAGTATTAATTAGTATTAAATTATATTTTGGCTCTAAGTTTTTTGCTATTCTTTTATTTTAGTTTCTTGTGATAAAACCACAGCACTTTGTAAAGAAATAATGTTTAGGAATTGTATGAGGAATTTGAGCCCACTTTCTCATACAGAACTGGTTAAATGTCTGAACAGTTCTCTCCTGTGTCTGCAGTGCTTCAGTTTCTGATACAGCTCTCTACTATGCATGCTTGTATTTATTTATTCTTTGGAAGAGTTTTATTTGCAGAGATTTCCTCCAGTCACTCACCTCTCCTATTTTGACATAGTAAGCATAAAATAATATGAACAGGTCTTCTAAAGAGAATGGTGAACATTTATTGACAGTAAAAAAAAAAAACAAAAAAAAAAAAAACAAAAAACAAAACAAACAAAAAAAAACCAACCAAAACAAACTAACTGAAGTCAAACTGTTCCTATGATTGCTACTGCACCCCGAAAAGGCATGCCTTTGCTTCCAGAGGTTGAAGAGTCAGTCTCTTCGGGGCTTTTTGCTGGGGCTGGCCTCCTGCCTGTCCATATTGCAATTTCTTAGTTGGCTCATCTGATTATCTGTGATGCATTAAGGCTAGTCCAATTTGTACAAGTAGGTAGGTAAGGGGGAACACACGTGTAGCATAAATACTGCTGTCATGGCACTTTGTCCCATGGCCTTTGTTTTCTGACCAATTCCCAGGGGAGTTGGACACTAATATTGTTGAAGGCAGCTGTTTTGGGTGAAGGTTTCTGGAAGGCAGCCACATGCTGGCCTGGTAGATTGAAGACTCATGGCCCTTTCAATCAGTCATACATTGGACACTGGAATTGCTTGTGGCTTGTTGCTGGGGTCCATGCAGTTAAGAGCTACAGAACTGTTCAGAGCAGCATTCAGAAGAACCAACAGCCTATAATGAGTGTAAGAACCTTTGTATACTAAACCACAGCCAGATTCAAGACCTTCAATTTGGATAATAGAGGGCTGACTTTCCCTGTTTATCTTTTGCTCAGTTAATAAGAATATTTCAGTTTATTTTCCTGGATCAGAGTAATCTATGTCAGAGTTTTGGGGTGTGGGAAGGGGGAGCAGGAAGAGGTGGTCAGCTGTTTTTAATACTGGTGTACTCCATGGTCAGGACTTTCTAAGTATAGCCTGGGTAAAGTGTCAAATTTCAAAGTCCTTTACACAAGGAAGGTTCTCTGTTTACAGTGGCATTAGATACACATCCATCTCTTAAACATATATGCATTTTGGTTTTTATTAGTATTGGGTAACTGTATTAGCTGATTGCTTTGCTGTTGCTTGATTATATCTTACTGGGAGCAGTGAAGAAATTGTCACATAGAGAAGTATATCTTGTAGATGTGGGTTCTTAAAGCACTAGCTCTACTTCTTAGCTAAAGAAGTTGTTCAGGGTTACAGTGAACCTCCTCTGTCTCTTGTATGTTATGACTGACTGCTGGACGACAGATCAGGATTTTAAGGATTGTGTTTGTATGTGGCCGGAGAAATGGCTTCAGATGTTTTCTTCTAGTTATTATGAATATAGTTGGCACTAGTGATTTAGAAAACATTGCCCAGGAAGATGTGTGTGAGTAGGAGACGTTCATTAACTTTATGTTGGAGGGTTTCTTTCTTCTCCCTCTTCTTCAGAAGAAAGTCTCTGCTGTGCTGTCTCCCATTTAAAAAAAAAAAATAAAAAAAATCTGTGATTAAGTTTTTTAATAGGACCAAAATTGCTTCTGTTATGATACTTTATGTGCCAGATACGCAGTAATGAAATAGTTCAGAAGTGTAACACAAGATAGGAAGAAAGCTGTATGAAATGCTCTTTGTTTTCTATTCCATCTGTTGCTATTATGTGGTAGAAACCTTGTAATGTGTTTTGAAAATACAGTTTTCCCAATTCTTTCTTATGTAGTTTGGGAAACCTATATTTCCGTTAACATACCATTTAATCAGGTATTAAAGTGTTATGCCTATTAGATAAGTCCTCTAGGGAACTTTGTGGTGGGCACAAAAAAAAAGTTCTTAGGATAATTGAAAAGCAAAATTTGACATGATCTTGATGCTGTTTAAAGGAAAACAAGTAGCAACTAGCTATTTTTTTTTTTTTCTCCTATCTCTAAGTTTTCATTAATGAGGGCAGTCTTAAGCATTGAAAGACTCTGGAGACACATAGACCATGTTTAAGAGTGTGTGTAAATACTAGCCCAGTGAAGTGAAAATGTGAGTAATGCTGAGAAGAGTGCACTTTTGGTTCTGAACTAGGCATTTGCTTACCCCCAGCTGTATGGAAGGGAAAAATCTGCTGTTTGGATGAAGTAGTTGTTGGCAGGATTTGGCCAGATGGACCTTGTTTCCGTGACTACAGAAGAAGTAATGTATTTTAAGCTTCATGGTGCTTTCTGGTTTATCTGTTACTTTCAATGAAATTTCTGAATTGCATGCTTTTTGTATTGTGAGGAGATGTTTCTGAATGCAGTCTGGTTCTCTTTCCAGCTGAGCCTGCAGTCAAGGCAGACCGAAGCAATATGCTCTAAGAAGAAGTGTGATTTTTCTCATATGTTTCAGTGAGCATTAATGGGAAGACTAATTAGGACAACTTGAAGCCAAAATTACTGTGTTTCTCTTTGAGACAAATTATCAGAGACATCCATCAGCTGTAGTTGGATGTACATGGCATGCCAAGTTTAAATCTAATCAGAGTTTAGAATCTGAAGTGAGGAAAAGAAGTTTAGATCTAACTCAGGGCTTAAGTTTAGAGTAGAACAAGGAAAAGTAAAGATCTACCATATATTAATAACTAATAAAAACAGGTGACGGAGATCATATGCTTCTCACTAATTGGTTTCAATTCTAGTTTGAAGACCATGTAGAAGTGACATTAAGCCAGTATTTCAGATGGAAAATTTTATATTAAATACTAGTATCATTTTTTTTTGGTATGGAACTGTATTTAGCTTTTACAGATACATGCATATAAATAGGGTTTTTTCTCTTACCTTGCAGATGTGACATTTCTATTCACAGAAATCTTCACAGCCTAAAACTTAAGTCCCCACAGTCAGTTCTCTCTGAATCCTAATACACTCTTGCTTTCTTTGGATATAAAAAAGCCTGTGCTTGCTTCCTTTGCAAGACTGACTTTGTACTATCAGATTCAGCTTCTGGGTAAGGTACAGTACAAAAATTATTTTGCTTGAGTGTTACAAAGGCAGCAGCCTCTGGCTAAGGAGTGCCTGTACAAGAAGAGGTGCCTTTCTACTGTTTTTTCTTTACATACTCTCCCTAGGAAAGTAGGAGGAAAGCCAGAGCCTCTCCCTGCTCTTCTACTGCATGCCCCCCAGAAAGCAGGACTCTAACACCGTGCTTTCCATCTCGTATTTATGTTCGAGACTCCAGCTCCATCATGCCATATACCTCTTTCACCTTCTTGTCACTGCTTTGATATCCACAGCCAGAGATGACAGAGTACCTTTATTTTTATCGCAGAACAGAGTTGGAAGCTGGCAGGTCCTGCTACACAGAGTAGCAAGATGTACCTGATTTGTAGTGATTATCTATGCAAGTGTCTACTGTGCTACAAGAGAAGACAGGAGGGCAGAGCTGAGAGAAGCTGATACTGCACCTGGCACAGGCAGATTGGTTACATGTGGTGGGCATATTACAATTTTGGGAACTTGTAGTGTTGCATATCACTGTCCCCACGGCTGCAATAGCTGTGGCCACAAATATGGTCAGAAAACTGTGATTCCTTCCACTTGAAAGGGGCTGTGTGGCCTTCTGTCTTCCTCTTTAATGTGTCCTACCTCTTGAGCAATATCAAGACAGAGAAAGCAGCCAAGTCAAATGTTTCTCTCTGCAGTACAGCGTTTTTAAGGAAGAAGTGAAGGGAGGAGGTAAAGTCTTTCATGTTGCATGGAAAAAATGGTACGTCACATTGATTAGCAACATGATCCATCAGGTAACAAGCTGGTAGTGTTCTACTCTCCATTTCACTTGATCCAATGTGCGCATCCTGTGTGTATTTTACGCCCATCATCAGCACCCTATGAATGACTCTTAAACTGTTGGCCCATTTCAACTGGGTCTGACAGTTTTGTTGTCTTAAAGTTCTGTAACTACTGTGGAAGTAGGCAGCTGGATAGAGGTGAGAGACAATGTTGTGTGAGGTTATGCTTTGAAATGGGGAGCATACACAGTGGGGCAGTGACTTATTAGGAGGCAGGAAGGCTTTAGCAAGAATTTCTACCTTCTTAGGAGCCTGAAGACAAGTATGTAATAAACAGATATCAATCAAGGAACTGATTATTATTTTGTGGGCTATAATGCATTTTTCTTATGGGGGGGTGTGGCTGTAGGGCTGTATTATTTTGTGTTGTGCTGCAAGTGCAAGGACCGAGGAAGGCTGGTCCCGAATAGGGAGGAGTATTCGTGTTGAGGGTTAGGATATTGTTATTTGGATATGTAGAAAAAGAAAAGCTGCTGTTTTTAAACATCGTTGCACCATCGTAAGCTCTCTTCTCTTTCTTATCTGTGGCATGGTATATTGAGTCAAATATCCTTTGAAAGTGTGCCCAATTAATAATTTTCTGGCTTTCACCAAATCACATTAACCTAGTGTAGCCATCAAACTGGATCTGCCAGTTGTACTTCTAGAGCAACTTCCTTTTTAATTGTCCCACTATGAACTCTTGTACCAGCTGACAAATCCTGAAGTAGTAATTTCTCTCATCCTAACCTGGAGAGAACTAAGAAGAGTGTATCTGTCTTGCTCTTGGCAAAAAGGATCCCAGAAGAATCTTTTAATTAGAGCAATTTCATTCTGTCTATCTGCCATGAACCTAACAAGCAATATGAGCTTGCTAAGGTCCAGCCATGTGACTTGGTGGGAGCTGATCATCTAATGAGAGGATTAGGTGTTTATTTCTGGTTGTCCACAGCCTGTGATGCTAAGCACGTGTTTCTGGGTGTGAGAGCTCTCAGCCAGTCCCCAGTGACCTCTCCTTTGCTGTTCTTGTCTTTGCTCTTCCCTCCCCTCCTGAATATCACCTCACTAGTTTCTCTGTTCTTGATATTTCAGCTTGGGATAGATTTAATAAGTTATGCTACACACAGTTTCTATGTGGTATTGTATTTGGGTTTGTAAGTAACACAGAACCTAAAAGGAACGTGAAATTTTTCAGAATCTTGTTTTTTAGCAAATCACCTGGGGAAGTGTCATGGTTTAACCCCAGCTGGCAGCTAAGCACAACACAGTTGCTCACTCATTCCTCTCCCCAGCCCCCTCCTGGTGGGATGGGGGGACAGAATTGGAAGTATAAAAGTGAGAAAACTTGTGGGTTGAGATAAAAACAATTTAATAATTGAGGGGAAAAAATATATAAGGGAAAGGAAAATAGCAGAGGAAAATAAAACCCAAGAAAGTGATACAAATGAAAACTGCTCACCGCCAACTGACCTATGTCCAGTCGGTCGCCAAGCAGCAACCTTCCTGCCAACCTTCCGCTTGTTCTGTTGCCGAGCATGATGTCATATGGTTTGGGATATCCCTCTGGTCAGTTGGGGTCAGCTGTCCCAGCTGTGTCCCCTCCCAACTTCTTGTGCACCCCCAGCTCGCTCGCTGGTGGGGTGGGAGGAGAAGCAGAAAAGGCCTTGATGCTGTGTGAGCACTGCTCAGCAAAAGCTAAAACATCCCTGAATTACCAACACTGTTTCCAGCACAAATCCAAACCATAGCCCAATACTAGCTACTATGAAGAAAATTAACTCTATCCCAGCCAAAGCCAATATAGGAAGCATAGTTTGAAATTGCTGAGATCCAAAAGAGATGAGCATTTCTGCCTGAGAGGCCATCGTTAAACTGGCTCATCTCCAGCACTGCCATTTTACAAAGTGCATTTAGTGAATTGTTTTGCCTTTAAAAAGTGAGAAGAGGGGTGATGGAAGAGGAACCAGCCGTGAAGCTCCTGAATTGTGATATCACTACCATTTGTCATATAGAAGCTATTTAATATTATGTGGGGTGGGGGAGAAATCCAGCCTGTCACCTTAAAGCTGGGGAATGAATGCCTTCTGCTCACAGCCTGAGCGTTGTATCTGGAGCTGCTGTTGCCACCTCTTAATACAGTTCCCTTTTTGTAATGATGATGTCTGAGCAAAATAAATTTTAAGATCTTGCACTTTAGTAGTCTTCCATTCTCATAATCTTGAATGGTTTAGAAGACCCCATTTTGTCAAGAAACCGGTTTCTTTCAATTTTTGCATTTCACTTTGAAATTGCTGTTTTGTCCTCTGGGCACTGATGTTAATATGAGTTCTGTATTGTACTTATTTACGTGGTAAATCTCTCTTCCCAGATCATTCAACTTCAAGTGGTACATCCTCGTTTAAGCCCAGCCGATCACTGCTTTCTATTCCTACTGCCCATGTGATGCCGTCTAATGCCAGTTCTTCACTTTCCAAACACAGGGAAGCTTTCAAGTCTGATGGCTCAAAGTGGAATACAAGCTTTGTACGGTCAGGAGGAGGCAGAAATCAGGGTGCCCTGGACAATTCTCTAGACATGAAAGATGCAAGACCTGTAAGAAAATGGTCCTCCTTGTCTAAACTCAGCTCACCAAATACCTTCAGCCAAGATGGTAGTAGTCATTCAGTGGATTCCAGGGCTAGTACAGACAAAGCGGTGTCGCCACAACTAAGGACAAATGGGCCAAGTTGTTTGCATGATAGCATGGAGTTGCTAAAAATTGAGGACAAAGAAGTGGGGAAAAAACGATCTTCTCTACTGGACTGCAAATACAAATTTGAAACATGCAGCAAAGATGATTTTGTTTCAGATTCCTCAAGTAGGAGACATGCCTTAGACTTGACCTACAGTGCCTTACCTGAAAGTAAACCTACGGCAGCCAGTTGTGAAGCTTTCGGACAGAGATACACCACTCTGGGACAACAGGCTGTGAGTGGAGCTCCCATACAGCCAGCAGTGAGGACTCAAATGTGGCTTAAAGAACAGTTACGTGCAAATCCCCTGGACTGCAGGACTGCTGAGGAGCCCTACGGCGTAGCTGCATGGCATGTGCAGCATGAAGATTTTAGAACAGGAGGTGAACAGCCTCCGGTGCAGGTAAGGCTAAAGCTTGGTGTTTGCTGCCCTCATGTGGCATAATGCATTATACCTGAGGAATAATATCAGGTAGTTTTTTATTAAATAGGAAGGGGAACAGGTCCTCTTAAACAGGTGATGATGTTTTTAAACTTTGATTGGGGATGCTGCTGCTGCTTGTTACTCAATATTACCTCAATGCCAACAGGTTTTTTTTTTCCTAGCATCTGCTTACAGTTTACTCTGATTCTTTGTGTCTGTCTGCATGAGACTAGCATCTCTTTTTCTGAAACTGGGCACAGTGAGAGGTTCATCACATAACATTTTCAGTAGTTAAGTCAGTCTTTGGTCACAGTGTACTGGGGGAAATATGAAGGTATTTTGATCTGAATGGGTTTACAAAGAGGCTGCATTTATGCATTCAGCAAAATAAGAATGACGGGCAGAGACGAATAATAGCATCACTATAGCACTTAAAAACTGAATTCAGTTTGATATTACTGTTTATTTTTTAACTAATTAGAATCAACTAATAGTAGTCAGTGAATCTGGTTTATTTAAATAAAACAATATATGGGTTTTATGTGTCATACTTGAAGTATTTTCATATAGAAAACATCAAGCAAGTAGTTGTAAGAGACAGACAACCCTTTCTAAAATGACAAGTCACAATATTTAGTTCCAGCTCTTCCCCTAATGGGAAAAGATAGCTTGTGAAGGAAGGCAGTATTTAAAATCTAAATGTTCAGGTTTATCTATGTAGGTAAACCTGTCTTGCCAAAAAAAATCCCAAAGAGATTAAAATATGTAAATTTTCCTGAAAGGCATCATGAGGCTAGGCTAGGATGTTATCTGAGCGGAGATAATCTAGCTGTATGTGCAAATTACCTGTTTTCTCTAGCCTGAAGATATATTAAGTAATTTGCAAAGAGTTGTGCTCAAATTTTGTTGTTTCTTCCATTGTATAGTTAAAGAAAGACTGACAACCTTAGATGTTTTCGAGATCCAGTTTTGCTATTAATGGTGATCTGGATTTTTTTTAATTAAAAAAAAAAAATTGAAGCCAATTAATATGGCCAAACTAATAGTAATTCTTGAGGGTCTCTCTAAAAACCCAATCCTTTATATTACCCTTGCTACTACAGAAACCTTCATCTTTCTCTAAGCTTCCTGAAGATTTCGATGTTGAGATGTTACCCAGGCAGAGAGCAGAGGCTGAGGGGTCCTCTCGGAGCCGGAGCGGCAGGAGCTGGCTCCCTGGTGAGGCTGGGTTGGGGGCACTGCCGGCCACGCTCCTGGCAGCTACCGGTGGCCTTGAGGAGCACGTGAAGGGTTTGGGAAGTGACAGCAAGGTACTGTGGAGGGGCTTAGTCCATCCCATCCTTCAGGTCTTCCTGAGCACACGAAGAGATGTGAGACATGGAGCTGGCTGCAGCTGTCAGCGGTGCTGTCTGACGTGTGCGTGCAGATTACTGTGCCTGGTGGCCCTCCTTTTGGGTTTAAATATATATTCAGAGTAAGATTTATTTAATCCTTTCCTTCGTTTAGATACATTGTTATAGGTAGATTAAGGCCAATCACATCCAAATATGGATTAATGAATCTTTATTAGGGTAAGAGAGCAACTGCAGCGCTGGGGTGGCCGAGGAGTCGCAGCTCCGTCCAGGCTCACCAAATTAAGTTTCAAACCCCCTTTTCTCCACCCAGCTGCCGGCTTCAACACCTTCAGCACACCTCGTGGCTTCTTCTACAATCTTATCTTCTTTCTTCAGTCCTGTGGTCAGGTACACCTTGTCCTTCAAGTCTGGGCCATTTTGCAGCTCCTTTGTCTTTTATGGCTCAGTGGTTTCAGTTCCTCTCTTATTTCAAGGACAAGGGGGTACCAGAGATGGCCCATTCTGTTCTTTCTCAATCCATTGCAAAGGAGTTACCACCCTTTGATATGGATCATCTGGTGAGCATCCCAAGAGGGGGGGCTGTTGGGTTGGTGTTTCCTCAGATCGATTCCCCCCCTTTTCCCAGTAGTAAAGTCTTTTACTTTTCTTAAAATTTGGATCATTGTACTAATAATAGCTTTAGCCTAAGAAGTAATTGTTTAATTACTTTTAGCGAAAGCAAAATTCTTCTATTATTTATCACATACATGTCTCTTCATCACGTTTTATGAACCTTTAACGACACGTTGTTTAGGATGGGTGTCTTTAGAAACTCTTATGATTAGGTCAAAACAACTCCCAGCTTTTGTTTTACACGTCTCACAAGTGCTTTGTCACTCTGACTGTGTTTAAATACAGCGCCTCCTTGTTGTATGGAGGCAAAGTTTCATGTCTGAACCAGATGAAGTCCTATCTGTATTAGTGGTGTTATTCAAAAACAACTGTTCCTGCAGGCATGAATGCTGAGCTGTGTTTTGAGGACAGAGCCAACAGGGGGAGCACAAGCATTATTTATCTTTTGGCCTGAATTCATAAAATGCTGCTGCACCTTTTCAGGTTTTGAGATTGTAAGATTATAGGATGAAGTTCTACCTAAAACTATTTTTTTTTTCCTTGCTCCTGTTATTTTTATACCTGTATCGGTATTGATATATATGTTACGTGATCCGCCTAGCCTCTGGCTTAGGGAGCAGTGATCCTGTCGGCTTTCCAGTCAGTCCTGGAAATCAGAGGAAGTCCTTGAAGCTGTGGCCTTTGCTCTATTTACGCTGGCTTGCTGCTTGATTGTGAGGGGGGGCCCCAAGGAGTCTGACAGTAATTAAGGGTGCAAGGGGTGGGGAGGAGGTTCCTGGCAGCTTTAGCAAGCACCGTCATTGCCATGATGTGGAGTGGCGTTTATGGGCTTTGAAATGCGATCTCTTACATTTCCCTACGTAAGAAGATACGGTTGTGAAACAGGACCCCGAGAAACAGCAAGTTAAAGAGTGTGCAAGAGTGGTGAACCTTTGGGCTCTCACAGGCATCCTCTGCTGGTCCCCCCCCCGCTTGCCCTGTCTTTGTGCCCAGAGGTTGCAGCTGTAAGGGGGAGGGATGCCAGAAGAGATGAAGAAAAAATGGTTCTTCCTGTCTTGACACCTGTTTTATAAAGAAACCTCTTAGCTTCACTGAGCCATGAGTTTTGTTTTGTTTGTTTGTTTTATTTTAAATCACCCTACGCCCACCTGGGAACTGATATGCTGTTGTTTAAGAGAAACAAATAAAACTACAATCCTAAATGGAATATATACCTAGAAAAGAGAGAGAGCAAGCAGAAAGTACAAGATTTTGCTAGAGGAAACTGATGATTTATAAAAGGGGAAAAAGCCACAGTTCTATAGAAACTTTTATTTTCCTTTTCTTCCTAGTGGGCATTATTTTTGCTCTTATGCTTTTAAGAAGTATGTGTGCTGATGGAAATGCAGTGGTTTTTACAGGACTGAAAAAATTTAGTTTATCATTTTACTTGAAAACTACTATTGCCATGAACAGAAAACAAAATTAACTTTCCTTTTAACTGACAATCTTGACCGGCTTTGTGTATCTTTAAGGTTGGCTGGTAGGAGGAGAGACAGTAGAAAGCAGCTATTGCTAATGAAGTAAGAATAGACTGCAGCAATTTTCTGAGTTGATTTTGAGGACTGAGGGTTCAAGAGCAGCTGTTGGACTTAATAATACAGTCTACAAATAAATTTTTATGCCCTCACATACTAGTATATATAGTTTACCCTGCAAAACTCTGAACTAGAGTTTATTTTTATAAAATCAGACAAGCTTTGAATTTAAGTTTACTGTAAAGTATAATGTATTATGGCCCTTAAAAGCTGTTCCAAGGTTAATTACTCTCAAAATTAAGATTCTCTGCTTCTTTAATAGTCTGAATTTGACTGAACTCAGCATCTACCTCTTGGGGTTTCATTACGCTTTGCTCCCGAAATTAAAAAAAACATATAAATGGCTTTTCCATTCCAATTGTAAACCATCATTTTAAAAGTAAAATGTTTACTGCGCATTGTAAGGGAAGCTCACAGTGTTGGGTAGAAGACCTACAGCTACGTCAAGATTCTTTTTCAGGACATGCTCAGGTTTGCAACTACAGATGCTGAGGATCTTCAGAGAAAGTACATTGTTCAGCTGTGGGGGTGATGTTTGTACATTTGGGAAATAAATCTCCAAGGAGGATTTGATCAATGGTTATTGTGTAACATCATGAGTTTGTATATGAAAATTCTTATCTCTAGCTAATGTGCACTGTTTAATGTATGCTTTTTGAGGATAAAAGTTTTTCTACATGTTTCCAAGGAACAGATTTTAATAGTACTTCAATGAAAATAATTTCCATGCAGAATTTGTATTTTATCATATGCTTAACTATTTTCAATCTACAGCTGATCTTTCAGCAGACACGACCATTGTAATACCTTTTTTCTTTTTTTTTTTTAATCCCCAAAGTAAGGAAGTGTGTGATTAGATCTGTGTTAAAGGAAAAGTGCTTATAATACATGACAGTGGTTCCTGTTTACTGAACTGTGAGGCCATACAAGTCTGGGTAAAGCAGCTGTATGTTTTAATGTCAAGGCATTTCTTAAAGCCTGATCCTATTATCTGTCCTATCATCTGAATGCATCTAGGTACGTACTGTGTGCTAGACCAGAAATCAGGTTTAAAATGAAAGCATGCCTTTAAAATTGTGGGAGATAATACAATATGAAGGAGGGTTTCAGAAGGTCTCATATCTACGTATTAGCTCTGTACAATGTTGGAAACATCACAGGATGAATCTCTGAGGGTTTTTTGAGGGTATGGGACATGTGTGTGATTTCTTCGTGGTGTGCTAACTTGTGTCAGAATATAGCAGAGACAATAGATGGAAATTGCTTAAGCGCATCTTTTTCCTTTAATGTATCTGGTTTGCTGTTTTTTCTTTAATGAGGAAAACACTGCCTTGTTCATTCCATGTATATAAAAATTGCTGGAAATTAAGTTTTAATGCATTGAGAAATGTAGAGATGCTGCAACAGTCTTAATTTCAAAACAGAAAAGGAAGAAAGTAAACTGCGTGCATACCTAAACATAGGTAAACAGAAGTTGGAAAACTTTTAATTGAAAGAAAAAGTTACAACTTTCTTCAAATAATACTGCTGCCACAGAAAACTTTATTCTTAAATGTCAACTCAAACCTAGTTTTCCTTACGATCCTGGTAGATCAGAAAACTAAAAACTATTAATATCAACATTTTTGCTGTGTCACATTTTGAAGAAACCGTACTTATCAGCAAGATAAAACTTTTTAACATGAAGAATTATCACCTCTAGCAGAATGAATTCCTTCACCGTGAGCCACAATGAAGCTTTTATTTTCTGTTCCTTTTGCTGTGAAGTTGGTAGTCCAGCAACTGGGATTCCGTGTGTTAATGTGCATGTGTGGGCTCAGTCTGGAGCAAGCACTAGCAGATGATGGGAAACCAAACTTGGACTGTGCTTGATTGCAAAAAGAGGCTTGGCACTGGTTAACTAGTAACTTTGCCAGTTTTATATGTCATCTCAGGAAAATGCATGTTTTGGTTTCAGCAGCGTATTTCAACATTTGTTGCAGATTCTGTAGTTTTCATTGCTGGCTGAGTGGAGGCTGCTGGGGTGGTTTCTCGGGGTTGCTTCTACACGCTAATGGCAGAGTTTCTTTTAGACTTCCTTTGTGTGTCATTTTGGATCTGGAAATACATGACTGTTGGTGGCAGTAGACTCATCTTTCTCCTTTTATTGAAAAAGAACATGTGATTTTGATCACTGTCAGGGTTAACTCCTTTATCTAAATTTAGCTATTAAACTGTCACAGTGGTTTTCCTAAGGTAGGGAAACTTTGGAATATACGGAAGAGCATACAGACAGTAAGCTTTGTTCAGTTGTGAGCCGTGTATCAATGAATAGCTATTTTGTTGAGGAAACCATTTTTATCCTTCTTTAGACTAGAGTGGGCTCCTTATCCATTTCTGTGGTTTTGGTATGCTTCAAGCCGTCTCTGCCAAGCAGCACCAGAAATCCTCCTAAATAACATGTAACTATGTAACTGTTACAACATATATCCCTTGTATATAAATTCATAGATTTTTTTTTTAAAGCAGAATTTTTCAAGAATATCAAAGTGATAAAGTGCTTACAGTAATATAGCCGTGCAAAGTTTCCTGCTTTAAATGCAGACAGTAATTGATATTACTATATTGACATAAAAAAACTATAGATACGTAGTTTGCAGAAACTATTGTAAATGTTTATTGCACACATTTTAGAGCAGATGAGAGAAAAGCTTTTGCTGTAACTATCTGTGCTGCCCTAACTAATGCTGCCTAAGCTTTGGAGCAGGTAGCATAGAGTAGAACATGGATGCCTGTTAACTGTAGGACTCAAACTTTGTTTCCCTAGGCATGCTGCCTCGTCTTGTGAAAAGTCTTTTTTTCTGTGGATCCAATTTAAATGGGTCTGTTCCAGACAACCACCCCACAACAGCAGTAATCATCTGGAAATCCTCAGTGTGAACAGGAGGAGATCAGCTCTAATACACTTGGCACTTGTGAGAAGTGCGGGATCGACAGTGTATGTGCTGAGTCAGGGGTGTGCTGTTGGCAATAGAAGGCTGGAAGCTGGGGCTTCCCCCACCCCATGAGCAACATCTGCCTCTTGCATGTGTGCAAAAGATTGTTATGATGTGTATGTATGGCAGTAAGCTTATGGTACAATGCCTATGCATTAGTGCACTTTGTCCCTACGTTGTAGTTGTGAAAGAGAGATGCTAAGAGTAAGCTGTTTAGCCACAGTGTAATGTATGAAGTCTGCTTCTGGCCACCTTCTTTCCTGGCACATCTCAGGTTTGTAGAGCTACCTTCTGGGCAAATAATTCCATCAGAAGTGAGCTCTTTGTGGTCACTGGCCTTCCCAGGGGCCTGTGGGGAAAGTACACCATCCTGTAAAGGGCCACAGAAGAAGGTCCTGTAAGAAGCTTATGTTGCATGCTTAAAGTGAGGACAAGCTATGGACTGGATGATTGCACTGGCAGGTACAAGTGGTGTGTCAAATATGGCTTGAGGGCTCCCATGCTGCACCCTTGACCTGTGCGTAAGTGGTAAATCTGGCTAATTGAGGCTCTAGCACACTTCTTGCATTTGTGCAGATGCACCTATCGCTCATGTACGTGTCAGTGTTAAGGGCTCCTTAGGCAGAGTTATGATAACCCTTGTTAATGGTCGTTTGTTTTTCAGTTGCTTTGACAGCTTCTTTTGATACTGCTGGGTAACACTAGCGACTTCGGGCTTTTAATGGGGTGTTGCTGTGGACTGTAGGTGGTCAAAAAAGGTGTAACTAACAATTAGGGTTTCATATTTAAGATTAACTTATCCCCCATCTGAGTTGATGGAAGCTGCTTTTCATGGATATTCCTGTTTCCATCTACAGCATCTGTGCTTTTGCTCTCTACAGGTAATTTGATGCATGCTGTCAACCCAATGTAGGTGTTTCATTTTGCCTTCCTGCCATAACCGTCTAATTTCCCATGAAGTACAAGTTCTATGGAAATCCCATTTAAAAAAATTAATTCCTATTGTCTCCTTTTGCAGAAACGATGTTCCTTGAAGGCTGCAGGTCTTTTGTAGATCTTTAAATACAAGTCAATGGTAGAAGTGAGAAAACTACAGTAACTGCTGACGCATACTTGAATTTCTTCATGTACTCAGCAAGGCTCTAGATGCTTGCTTTACTCAACGGCAGGTAGATAATTGTGCACAGCTTTTAGGATTGCTTTCTGACCAAATGGGTATGTGAACACTTTCTCTAACTGTCAGCTATGTCAGTCTCAACAGTCTTTCCATATTCATATTCAAATAGTTTGAAGTGTCTACATTATCATCGCAAAACCCTCAAAACAAGGTTTGAGAAGGAAGCAGAGCCTCACGGAGGTTCACATCAGCTTCACAAGGATAAATGCGAGCACCAGAACCAGGACAATCAGCAGAAAATTGAGTAGCAGGTTGAGACCTCTGTTGGTAGCAAGATCCATAATGTGCACTAGTCTGCCCGCTTGTGCTTGCAGCAGACTCTTGATTGTAGCTTTGGGTTGCTCCTTCAGTAGTAAGCAATGTAGATTCACATGAATTTCATTGTGTCCTTAGGTGTTTACCTGTTTTTAGTTTCTGCCACTTAAGAAAAAATACTTGTTTACAATAACTAGAGTTTTTTTTTTTTTCCTCCCAAAAAGGAATCTGGATCCTCCTACAAGCCTCTTTTTCCAAATACCTTAAAAATAAAATAATAAAAAAAGTTAATGATAACTTCCATTTCACTACTGAATAAGTTCTGAAGAACTAATTAATGGTGAAAGAATATTAATTTTATACACTTTGGCGCTCTATTTATTTACTTTTTAAAATGTGTATGGTACTTCTCGGGCCAATTTGATTTTCAAAAGAATGGCTGTTCTCAAGACTTACTCTGTTTCAGCAGTAGACTGTTGAAAATTTACTTTTAGAAGATCTCTGTAGGTGCAAAATAGAAAACTTTCTCATCTGGGTAAAATGTACCTCTGATAATGAGAGTATTTCCTACCCTTCTAGGGTTTGGCAGCGTGCGGTGTGATAGGTAGCGTTTTGCCAGCAGTGCGCTGTGTAGGACTCATTGCAGCTTTGCAAATGCCTTATTAAGAATCTGGATTGGGCTGGCAGATGATGCACCTGTAGCGCTTTTAATAGCACATGTGCAATAGCTTATTTTAAGATAGTATTAACAACTTAGCAATTGTGTTTTATATATAGAAATATATATGTAAATGAAAGAAACAAACAGGACCACTCAACCCTAACAGTGAACTGTTGCCAGAACTTCCTTTTTAATAACCAGCTACATTTTTAGGGAAGATCACAAGGGGGCAGTGTTTTTATAGTTTTATATTTCATACAAAAATGGAGCCTTTGGCATTCTTTTATCTTAATAAAAAAAAAAAAAAAAAAAAAAGAAAAAAGGGGGGGTTTATAAAGCTATCAATTTGACTCCTTTGGCATTCTTTTATCTTAATAAAAAAATAAAAAGAAAAAAGGGGGGTTGGGTTTATAAAGCAATCAGTTTGACTAAAGTGTCACATATTACAATAAATCTATGGTCTGTTTTAAATATTTAAATTACCAGGGTTCTTGCTGAGATGAGCATTAATTTTTAAAGGAAACATTATAAATATGTTGTTCTGTTTTTAATCCTTGCAGTGAACAACAGGTGTTCATTCATCTCCTTTCATAACCAAACCAGATTATTTTTCTTCTTTTTTTCTGCTTTTTAACATCTAGGTCAAAGCTAAAAGGACTACATTCATTGTTCAATAAAACATATCTGTGGATCTTGTAGGACTTCACAAATACTTTCTAATTGTATTCTGACAGACATTATTTATTAATAGCCATACAAATACAGGTATCTGGTCTGTAATCTATAGTATATTAGTATGCTTCCAGATATGAACAAGAATACTCTGTAAGTGAATGCCTTCATTACTCTGCTCTAATTTATTTTGGCAGAGTGGATATAGGTACAGTAAATCCCAACACGAGTGTGTGTCTGATGGGATTATTGTTCTGTGTGTCGTTGTAACAAAATTTACACAGAAGTTCTTTGTGCCAGGGTGGCAAACATTTTGTGCGTGTTTTGTGAGAAATTTTGTTGAAGCCTGGTTTACGCTTGGCTTTCCACTGAGTGGTTCAGTTCTGCTAGAAAGGGCAGTTGTTGCTGAATTGATGCAGAAAAGTTAATAGAGAAGTGCAAGTACCTGCTGCCCTCTAAAGTGCCTTACTGACTAGTCTTGATCAGAGCAAAATTTAAATTCTGAAACTGGTCATGTCTTCACCTAGAGAAAAATAGGTAGATATACCAATTGCTGCTGAAAAGCTGCCCGAGGAGACACATCTTTAAAACCCTGGCATATTATTCTTCCTGATTCAGCTCTTTCCCCATGTAAAATTGCTACGGAAGTTTGTAATTTGTTTTTTTGAAGGAAGAGTAATAGCAGATCATTGCCTGTTTAGCTGGCTTTATTCACATTCAGTGTGTAAGATGAACTTATCAAAAAGATGTAGCCACGGGTGGAGTGGAACAGAGAATTGAAAACTTAATCCAAGCTACATGCTGTGTTTGGAATTTTTATTACGGCTCATAAAAGTTTCAGATTACACTTTCATAAAATTCATTAGGATCACTTATGTGCACTAGTTAGTGAGTGTAAATTAAGTATGTGTAGGTGATCTGGACATTGCAAAATAGGCAAGATTACTACTGAAAAACAAAACAATATATAGAGGGATAAAGAATTAGAAAGCTGTGTGATGACTAGCTGTTTTTCACATGATTTTAATGAGCAGATGATAAAATAGATTCTTCTTGCTAAACAGAATTGTATTTAAGTATTTTATGCATTAATATATTTTCAAGCAGTCATTTTAATAAATAAAAGTACAGTAAATGTTAATTTTAAAGCCCCTATAAGTACACAAAGAAGATTGGACTATGTACAAAAGGTTTTATTTTTTACTCTCTGGGTTCAGTTGACATTTAGTGATATAAAGGATGGCAGCAGACTTTCTGATCAGCAAAATCCTAAAATACAAATGAACCGTACAGTATGTGTAATTGATCTGCATCACTGTAGAATAACAGTAGGGCTTCCAGTTTGTTTATACTTTGGTTTTGTTCTTGGTTGTTTATTGTTTAAAAATAAATATTGGATTTTCAGGTACATAAAAGGAAAGTCGTGTGTTTTTTACGAGGGGGGGAGTTTATTATTTTTAAGCAATGCTTTACTTTGACTTGTATGTATTACTGGCTTGTGAAACCTATAATACCAACATGTCTTCAGAATGTACATGCTGATATTTTACTCTTGATACCTTTTTTTCTTCAGGAAGCTTTCAGTACTGTAAAACTGTTGTCTATTTCCAATTGAAGTCTCTTGAAACACCTTGAAAGCAAACTAAAACTGGAAACCCTGTCTATCACAAAAAATACAGATTTAAGGAGAGAATAAAGTAACTTTAGATTTTTCTATTTCTCACCTTCTCCCACTGCCCCGAGGTTCACTGTGTTTGTGGCTTTTCTTAAGAAGGATTAATAGGGAAAGTGCACTTATTAATCTCATGCATTTGAGAGAGTGGTCAGAATGCATGAAATGGAAATTGAGATTTAGAATTAACAGTTCAAATCAGTAATACTCATATACTAACTTGCAAGTGGGGGTGTGTGTTGCCGATCTCATCAGAGCTTGCCCTGATCCTCCAACAGTAGCTAATGAATTTCCTCTAGTGATTAACCTTATTTCAGAGGTCTGATCTCAGCATATCTATTTGCCCGATCGGAAGTATATCACAGCTGGACTTGCTTGCATTCCATCAAGTGCAGAGTTTTTTTCAGAGATATCTTCCCTTCCTGCTCAACTGTTCATTGTCAACCTCTGCTCATGGAATATTACGTCTTAAAGGCAGAATACAAGATTAAGATAAACTTGTTTTGGTTTTCTGTATTCATCAACAGAATTGCTTACGTAGAGTGGTATAGAAAGATGCCTGTTTTAAAAAAAATGAACGTCTGTTTGACCTCTGTCTGTTGATTCTTGAGCTTTCTTTAAATTTGAAATCTGTGTAAAGTTTCTAGGAATTTAGCTTAATAGCAGCAACTTGTAGAAGGGTTGGAAGTCTACTGCTCAGTCATGGTACTGACAACTGCTGGAGTAGAAACTTTATCTTTTTACGTGTATAGGCTGTGGTTTACATGTTGAAAAGATATTTCTGCAGTGCTTTTCCTCCTGTGTGTAATTGTTTATAATTTATATTTTTTTAATGTATCATTTATTTTAGGAAAATATTTGCATGTTCCCTAACAGGCATTTGCATTTAAAGGTGGTCATGTTACATGTATTTGTATGATACACTTCAGTCACAGCAGTAAGGGTGACCTACACCTTTCTCTTTACCACATCAGATATAAGCTGCCTTGTGTGACACTGGCAAGTACCAAGTTTGCTGTAGTTTTAAACTAAGGAAATTATTATATAAATTACAGCAAGTCATAATAAAGTTGTCTGAAGCCAAATACTAAGAAGCCTGATAATTATTTCTGAGTTTTGCCAACTGTCATGTCAGTTAAATGACTACAGAAAATTAAATCTTTGATACCAATGTGGTGGTATCATTTTTTTCTGCAAAGCATAGTGAAAAGCTTTCTAGATGCCACTTAGTTTTGTAAGGATGCATCTAGTGAAAAATACTGTAAATGAAGTTGCCTTTTTTCTTTTCAGATCCAAGTTTTGTGTGTACACACATGTATATATAAGATCCCTTAAATAGGTAGAAAAGCATAGGAAATAGTTTTTATTTCTGGGTTAGAAGAGATTTTTGTTTTATTCTTACATTCCCTTAAACAACCACTAAAATAATTTGAATGCTGTCAGTTGATAATGCAGAGATGCAGCACCCTGAAGTAAGCAGAACATAAATTTTCCTAGGATGCGTTGAGGGCTGTGTGCCTGCAGCTCTTCTGGGGGCTGATGTGGGCCAAATTTGGAACGCCTCCGAAGGGCTTAAGGATTTTCAGAGAAACCAAAAAACAGTCAGACCCCCAAAAAGTGAATTTGCTGTTCGTGTGATCTAGCTAAAACATTGAGGAACTTACCAACTCCACGAAGAGCCAGTACTTTACCCCATTCAGAAAAGACATCTCTTGATTGAGACAGACAAACTAGGTCATGCACAGCTTTGTAACAACAGGCTCTAAACACTGTTCTGCACAGAAGTGTGTTTTTAATACATGTAGTAGGTAGTAAGAGAATAGTGCGATGGTTGGCATACAGCTCTAGTCCAAGTGCTAGCCCCTCTCACGAGAGGATCCTTGCATTGGGAGTTGCGGGTGTAGGTCTCTTCCCTCTGGGGTGACTTTCCTAGAGGACAGTGCAGAGAAGTGCTGGAACTTCAGAGGAGCATCACAATGATACAGATCAGCAAGAGGCAAATTAAAATCAGGCAGAAATTCACAAAAAGCTCTTGGAGCCTTTGGCGTGCTTGTGGGTTGACCTCAATAGTTGAGGCTCTCCTCAGAGCAGAGCGGGTTATGTATTGGACCTTCTCCATGGCAACAAGAAAGCAGAGGGCACAAATCAGAGGTTTTAGGAGTGCAGGAAAGAAGAGAAGTTGTCAGGAACAGTGCAAAGTGCCTATTATCTTCTCTTTTTGTTTTAGACAGCCTTTGTGGAGCTGGGAAAGCAGGAAAGTGAAGAGTTAGAAATGCAGAAGTAAAGTGTTTTGATGAGTGCAAATGGAGATTGTTTTGAAGTTCTAAAAAGCCTGAAGTAAACAGGTTGCCTTTACAGTGTTTTTACTTTAAAGCAGGATTTTTTTAAATTTTGTTTTTCAAGTTTAGGTTTGTGCTATATTGTGCTTCTCTTCCAGAAGGCTACTAAGCACCTGCTTTTTAGCAGTGGTGAGGAACTGTAAAGTGGAAATTGTGGATATATGGGTTTTACCCAGATCACTGCTTTAGATCCTAATCTCTCTATCCTTTATGGTCTATGAAAAGGCCATGGTTGACTTCCCTCCCGCCCCCCATGCTTTATTTGTTCAAGCACACACGAAAGCCTGATGGTATGACTAGAGTCACAGACCTTTCAGCCAGGAGACCTGGATATTATTGCTGGCTGTTACTGACCCGGGCGGATAGTCTGATCTACCAGTACCTTATTCTGGAAGGGAGGAAAAGAAATATTGTTGAGGCATTTCCATTCCGAGAGAAAATTCTTTGTGGTGCATAATTAGAAGCTGATGCATCACTGATATAGGAAATTTTAGTAGCAGATGTTTCAACAGGCAAAACAGAGTAAGGACTAAAATTTTTTTTTATATGGGTAGGACTGTGTTACAGAATACAGGTTCAAAGGCACAGGACTGCTATGAGGGACAAAATAAAACACGTATATAACTTTTGTCTCTTGAGTGTTTGACTTCAAATATATTTTCCTAGTTTTTAAGGCAGATGGAAGCACAGTGTCAGTTGTCTTACACTGCAACTGCTGGGAGTTGTAAAACCCTCCTTTACAAACTTTCTGTGGCAAGAGGCCGGCTTTGCTATATGCTTGCTTACCTCATAGTGAGGTAGATTCTGTAGGTGCTGTTGCAGTGTGAAACAGCAACACCTTGGTTTTCAAGGTGATGATGATATATGCATCTCAAACTTTGCCACTAAAGCTGCATTTGCTCCTAAATGTTCTATCAGCTTATATCATTATCATATCGTTCACAGAAGGCCTCTCCTTGTCATTTCTTTTGTTTTTGGGGGTAGGGGCCAATAAATGAAATTCCTATTTACTCATACATGCCACATAAAGTAAAACCGTTGCTTATATATCTACTACCCAAATTACATGGTGATCCTGACTAAATCAGAGATACCTTATTGTCTGTGAATTTGTCTTTAGATGTGGCTAAAATGGAAAAACCTTGAAATGAAACAGAAGTGTCTTTCAGACTCTTCTTTTTTAGTCCCTCCATGTTGGGCTGCAGAGCCAAATGGTACTGTATGAGCAGAATACGTGTGCTTCCCGTGCCAGTGGCAGCGTTGGTATTTAAAGAGACTTTCAAAAGAAACCAGATTATGCATGGCTATTTTAATACCTTTAGAGGATTGTATGTGATGACATCTACTCCTAAAACTGAACTTCAGATTTTGTTATGATGTTTTGAGCTGTAGTTGATTTTCACTTTATTGCGAAAAAAACACGCACCAGGAACTTACTTTCATAGCGACTGTAATTTGTCAACTTTGTTTGACTTTATGCTGTACCTGTTTTTGTCTATTTAAGCAGTTAAAGTGCTTGCCAAGTATAACCTGCTTAGCTCTTTGCTAGTCACTGTCTGCCCCAAGTGCAGTAAAAGCAAGACATGCACAAGAATTCTCCAGTGACTTGCCTGAAGGCACATTCGTTCTCCCAGCACAGAACAGGCTGGGATACATGAGGCTGTTTATTCTCTTCTAGACAAGGCATGGTAGATGAACCACTAACGGATTAAGCTAGTACAGAAAAGTTTGTGTAACCAGCTTGAGTGACAGACACTGCGCAGAGAACAGTATTTCCTGCAGATGACTTCATCAGAAATCGTTAGGTCATTTTTTCATGCAGAGTGTGTACAGCCTGTGGTCTTTGGGCTGTGTGTGACCTGCTACAGCAGCATATCTGTCTTCTTCCTGGCTGCTGTTTTTCTTGGGGCCCTTGGAAGGGTTGGAACAGCATGAGTTTTTACCTGCATTTACGCACCATAGATCCATTTCTGTGTACTGTATTAAATTTAACTGCACACATGCGAGCACCTGCACTGCTGTGTTGCCGCCTGTGTTTTACTTGCATGGCTCCAGGGGCAAGGACCTGGGGCTTTGAAGCGTTTCCATAAAAAGCACTATTAGCTGTTTGGGCGTTGCAGATGCAAAGCCAGTGCAGGTGAGGAGAAATGGTGACATCTCTCTGGAAGGGAAAAAAAATATTCTTCCCTTTGAAATGGGTGAGTGGTGTTGCTGAGGGAGCAGGCAATAGTCAGAAGGCTCAGTTGAGTTGAGTCAGCATTAGCTGTTTGGACATATGTGACCAGACAGACTATTCAAAAGGATCTTTAAAAAAGGAAGGTAGCGTAAATTAAAATGTATACCTCCTACAGCTAGAAGATGGTGTAGAGCAGGGATGAGGAAAGGTCAAAATTCAGTAACTTGGTTTTCTTAATTTAAAGGCTCATGGTTTTGCAACTTTTTGAAACACTTATGTGGTGTTTTACCTACTAACCCTGCCTGTGGGAAAAATTTTCTTGTAAGCAAAGGAAGCAAATTCTGTCTGTATTTCAACAAGTTTGTATTCATAAGTGCATGGCTTCAACTCATAAACACATACCTTGCTTGTTAATCCTCCATGGCGCTGTCACCCACCTAAAGTGTGCACAAAGAGAAACAGATTCAGTAATGCAGCTGCATATGGGTGGCTAGCAAGGTCAAAATGGACAGCCTGAAAAATAATTATACTGAAATGAAGGCTGATCATTGCCACAAGTAGTAGCTGTTCTCTGCTGCTTAGTCCCCTGACTGTGTTTTAGGTCAATATTAAGAAGCATTATGCACGCACACACCACTTCTTAAAAGGAAAGTGCAGCAAAAGGGCAAACTCTATTTGACATTTTTTTTAAAGTTGAGAAGTGTTAGTGGTCTGACAAGACCAAGTATTACACAAGAGAAACGGCTGGCCGCGTTGCTGTGCGGTTGTGTGTTTATAAGGGTCGTGAAAGGCTTCTCATGCACCGTAAGGATCTGCAGGAAGAGGTCGTGTGGCTGACCCTGCAGGTTGCTGTGTAGGGGATCCCCTACACCTGGTGCCCTAGAATGAGTCACCGATCACAATTATCGCTTCCTTCTTCACTGACATGTGACTGTGTCACTGGTTTCTATCAGGTTATTTTTATCTTTGTTCCTGGGTGTCCTTCACAATGAGAGGGGGTATATGACCAAAGTGAAAACTGTGGGCCACGCTCGTTCTGGTGCAACTGCATTGACTCTATTGAAGTCACACGGGATAAATTTGGCTCCTTTGGAAATGCCACAGCAATTTTAGACACAGCCTGCTTCCTGTCATATGTTTACTAAATGCAGCAGTGATATCAGTGGAATAGAAGAAGTTTGACATACTTGATTTGTTGCTGTCCCATAGGACCAAGTGAAGCCCTGAAAGGGCATTGTTAAAAAAATAATATCATGTAACAGTCTATTGCACAGATTTTTACAACGAGTTGTCTCCAAAACCCAGGAATTCAGTTTCATCCATTGAAAAGAAATGCCTTAATAACCATAAACAGAGTGATGCAAAAAGTACCATCAAGTTGTGTGATCCTTGGTCTAGTATGTGTTTAGAACTGTTACCAAAAGTTATCTGGCCTCAGAAATTCCTGTAGCTGTTTGTGCGAGCAGTATGATAATCCAAGGCAGGAAGAGGCATCCTCTGCACATTCAGAGGAGGTAAGTTTAAAGATTTGTGTGTATAGTGCCAAAGCAAAGAAGACCTGTGCTTGCAGAACTATATGCTGTGAGTTGAATTGAAACTGAAGCCCTTTGTCACCAGTCTGTGAATTGTGTGGCCCCCAGAAGAGGAGACAGTGCAGAGTTTTAAAGCTCTGCCTGTGCACAGCAGCTGCAGTTGATGTGTAGGCATGCTTTTCCTCTTCACTGGCTGTCCTGTGTTAATGTATGTATCTTATTCCAAGTTGCATTTCTCTGTTTTGAATGCTGCTGTAAAATACCTCCTCAGTGGCATTGTGGAGATATTCCATTTGAGACCTCCAAGTCTGAAAAGTCTCCTTTTTTGTATGAAGAAGATGCGAGGTGAGAAGGGGCTGAAGGAAGCATCTGAATTAACTCCAGAGACCTCTAGAGGGTCTCACTACTGTCAATTTAGTTCAGTAAGTAGAAGTTTCCAATGACAAAACAGAAGTTGCTTACAGGTTTTCAAGTACAGAAGTGATTTATAAAGGTATGGCATAATTTAAAATTTTTGTTCTTTTTACAAAAAATATATGTAGGATGAAGGTGACTTGCTAGGATTTACCCCAGCAGCTGGATTTTCTGTGTACCAATGCTAGGGTTGCAGAATTCTGTGCTTATTCTGATTTTAGGCTGAGTTGCACTAGACACTTGTCTCAGTGAAGAAGGTATTAAGAATATTAGCCAATTCAACAGCTTGACTGCAGAAAAAAGAAAGTTGATTTTTTAAATTTTTGTTTGTTTGTTTTTTGAGAAGAAAACCTAAGAGGGGAAAGAAAGGGGTGGAGGTCAAAAGCAAAAACTGCGATGGGTGAAGGCAATAGTGCAGGAGAGGACAGATTGAGGGAGGAAAGCAGAAGAAAGCGAGCAGAGAGAGTGAGTGTGGAAAAAGAGCAAGGAATTACACAAGGGGAAAGAGAAAACTGCATCTGGAGTGCGTTAAGTCACTGAAGAGAGCTAGACACTGACTTGTGGCATATAATGTAATTTTTTTCAATCACATGCAGAAAACATTTCCTTGGGGTGGGAGTAGAAGCAACAATTCAGCTCATAGAGTTTGGGAAATGCTGGTAACAGGAAAGCAACCTGATTTTATCTTTTTGTTTTAAAGTCAATATTTTTCATGTGTTTGAGAGAGGATAAGGGAAGAGTCACAGTTTAGATTCTTTATTTTTTTTATTCCCCTCTTGTTAATTAATTCCTCTTACAATCTTCCTTTTGACTAGCTTTGATGTTCTCAGTGTTCCAGAAGCAAGTTTGCCAGGAAGAGCCTTTACCTGTATTTTGAGTCCATGAGAATGCAAAAGGTGTAGATACTAAGAAATTACACTAGTGAATAGTTGAAAACACCAGGCTTGGCGTTTTTGTTTTTGAAAGTTTATCTATATACCTTGTGGATAACTGGGACTTTTATCTGTGTGCTAGTCTGTTAGAGTAGCCTGGGGGCTAATGCTTTGGGCTAGTTTTTAACTCTGGGTTAAATTCCCTACAACTGCTGCAGGACTGTGAAGTGGGATCTTGGGCAGGTGCTTCAGCCTCCATACTCATCAGCTCCCTCAATCAGAATAAGACATAAAACAACAGTATACTCTTTCCCATCTGTTGGTATGATTTGCCTTTTGCGCCCTAACTTTCTTTTAGGAAATTAACTCCTTCCTCCACTACACGCTCTGGGTGCCCAACACCTTGGGTTTAGCAGCTCAGGGGACAACATGGCATTGATTGAAAGAAGAGTATGGTAGGTAAATGCAACTTCTGAGAAGTAACTTGATGCTAGAGAAGTCCTTTTAAGCCATGTATTAATCTCTAGAAAGCAAAATCAATCTTCCAGTTCTAAAGTGTCTTGTAGTTCAGGAAACATGACGTTATTTTCCTGGGGGCTTTTTTGCTTCTCCAGTTGGGATACTTTTCTATTCCCAAATCAAATTATTATTCTCAAAGCAAATAAAAAAGCTGCTTTTGTAGTTGTGTAGGTGTATCCCATACATTTAGTTTGCTAATAGTCTGAAAAGATGTGGAAATCACCTTCACACTGATTATAAACTGATTTTAGTGAGTTTCATATTGTACAATGAAGACACTGTATTCCTAACCTCTTCAGAGCACCAGAAATAAAGGCAACTTTTAAAAACAGAAATGTGGTATATACGTAAATCTGAATATCTCTAAATACTAATAACATAGTTGTTTTGACGAATGGCAAAAAAAAAAGGCTGAAAATTGTGATTTGCTGTAAATTAAGTGCAGTATTTCACATCTGATTTGTAACATTTATCGCCTGCTACGTAGCACATGCTTCTGTCATGACTGTCGGCTGTTGTTACACAGGATTTGGATATCTGTGATACGGGATGTTATCGGCGTGAAATGTTTAGATTTAACTTCAGAGCTGAGCCACACTGCCAGCTACTTTAAATTACCTAACTCTGTGACAGTGTAGAATTGAGATGAATGGGCATCTAACCTGCTGTAGCTATGGATGCATGCCAGTAGAGAGCTGCCTACAGCAGCTCAGGTTCTCTGTGCATGTTAATTTGTGCATGTACACACAAACTGTATTTTTAAAGCTGTGTGTAGGCAGTGCTTGTGTTAGGAGAGAAAGATTCTCTGCGTGGTAGAATAAACCTGAACTCCTCCCCACTTGAAAATACCTTTTATGTAACATTAGCCTTGGAAAAAGATCTGTCTGTCTGTCTCAGTCTTCTTGCTTGCTGTAGGCATTGGTTTGAAGGCACTGGGAGGTCTGAAGCTGCCTCCTGGAAGCAGCTCCTAGAGAACTTCGTAACAGACTGTTTGCCTTAGGAGTAACAGGATGTCCAGACGCTTCCAGTACTTGTCTACTCAAAATTGGCACAAGGCTGCTGAGCACAAAACCAAGCACCTACATGGTTTTTTTTCTGATGCCTACCAGTCAGCAATGGGAAAAGGGATTAGGTGTGTCTGTTTGGTAACGGAAAACATGCCTCGCAAAATTAAAGTCTGTATTAAGTCTCTCTTCTGAAACCAGAACCTTATGTAGACACAAGTAGTAAGGTGTGAATTGATGGAAGGGGGGAAATGTGATTGTAAGGAGGAGAAATTCCTTAGAGACATACATATTCATGAATCATATTCCTTTTAAAAAATATTTGTATATCTAAACATTAAAATATCCTTTATGTGACCATGTTTCTGTTTGAGATGCACTCTTTCTGTGTGTAGTGATTCTCTTAGTTGTATATAGATGGATTACTTTCTGCATTTGAAATTCAGTTCATGATGTTACAAATCCTAGCTAAATTACTTCTATGTTACTAGAAGCATTCTAGGACAAGTTTGGCAGTTACAATGACCAGCAGGAGAAAATAAAACTTTAAAGGAATACACAGCAAAAATGCTATATCAGTTCTGTAGCTTGAATTGCAATTTGAGTAACAGGATACAATTTCAGTTGTAGTACTGCTATTAACAGCTTAAATTTTTAAGCTAAGGGTATTTTTTCATCATGCAGCAAAAAAAGGATTATTCTCTCAATGTGTTAGATCAGAAAAATGCTTTTCTGAGGTAAATGGGGAAAGGGCTTTTACCTTTGCTGGGGTGTGGGTAGGCAGCTTTGGGGAAACAAAAGTGTCTCTACAAAACTTCAAGTAGATTACTCTCTTTGTGGATTTTGCATTAAAAAAACAAAAAAAAAACAACCAACCAAACAAGCAAAACCAACCAAACAAAAAACCCCTCCAAAAAACAAAACCCAAACCGTATTAAGTTTAATAGGAGAGACAAAGGTCTGAGGAAAATGGTGAAACCTCATCACCTTCTGATGTAATGATACCTGTATAAATCATCTACCCAAGGACAGCTAGTGTCCCTTGAGCATGTAGAAAAATCTCAGTTGCCTTTATTATTGCTAGAACAGGTGTCCCCCCGCATTATATTTTTGAGCTGTAATGCCTTCATTTCCATATTTTTGATAAACAGTTATAACCAGCTGTTAATTTGACTAGAGGAGTTTTTGTAGAAAACTCCAGCTACAGTGCCTTGCTATAAGAATTAAAAGCATAAAAGAAGAGAGATTTCTTACCTCTGGTGTGATTTGCTGAAGCACAGAGGAGCCTGCTCCGGGCTGTGGGAAGTGTCTGTAGATCTCTGGCAACTTGTCCGAGCCTGTGACCAAGCGGTGGGAACAATTGAAGTCGGTTGTTATTTTTTCCCCTCAAAAGTTTCAGAGGCAGGACTCCCGGCGTCATTCAGCAGCTCACAAGTTGTGATTGGTCCCATGTCTGCCTTCTGACACGGGCAGCCGCTCCTCTAAACTTGTCCACAGCAGCAATACGTTAAACGTGGGCAACATCCTTCCTCTCGGGAAGGGAACCGTGTGGCAGGGAGGCCCCCTGCGCAGCCACAGGGTGAAGGAATCGGGGAGGTGGCACGCTTCAGTGGGGTAGCGAAGGGAGCTGCTTGCTCACACCCTGCCTTTTCTTAAACAAGAACTTAAGTGGGAATTTGTTCAGGGAGCTCTTTTGGATGTGTTACTTTTGCTGCAGCAGTGTTTCTTCATCATAAAAGACATAAATCTCTCACGTGGGTGATCACATTTCATATGGGGTTTTGACTTGGAATTATTTTCTTCTGTACAAAGGGTTTCTTAAACTACACTTTCAGTGTATATATAGTTTTCATAATTCTATTACACAGATGGTATTCAGCTTACAGTGTATAAAGTGTTTCCCAGTATCATCTTTCTTCTCCCAATGCTTGAACTGAAGTAATTTTTCTGTATTTCAAGTCTCTTCCAATCTTTAAATTAATTTGTGGCTTAGAGGATTATTGGTTTTCAAATAAAACCCAGCATATAGAAATTAATTTCCAAAATTTATCATTCCTATATAATTTCAAGTATTTACCTTTCCTTTAAAACACCCGCCCACCCTTTTTCTCCTTCCTCCCTATTTTTGTGGCTGGAAACTATCCAAGTGATTTTTGAGAACCCGTTCTATTTCTTTGGACAGGAGTAGCAGCTGGATGCTACTTTGCAGGTGATCTTATGTATATTATCCTGTGTTGCGAAATGAGAAATGAGACCACAGTGCATATACGGAGTAGATTTCGTGCATCCAGGAAGCGGAGGATTTACTGGTTGTGAAAGGACTGAACTGTTGAGTGTGTGAACATCCAGCATCGGGCGTCGTATGTGGATACAACCGACAGCATGTGCTTCTTCCTGATTTGGAAACCACAGGCAAAAATACAGAAGCTCAGCCTAACTCTGAACGCTTACAGATCCAGTTTTGACAACAGTTGTTTAGCATAGATTACTACTTGGCTTTGAGCAGGAAACCAGACATGGTGAGGTTTTGTTTGGTTTGGTTTTTTTATTACCTATAAGCCCTGCTGTGATAACATGCTGCAAACCAGAGACAAAAAGGTCTGGAGGTGATGTACCACCTTGTTTTAAATTGAGCTCTATTTATATTTTCATAAATAAGGTTTAGCTCTTCTGCAAAATTGGTTATAACATAGTTGAAGTTAGCAATTCAGTTTTAATATAATAAATCTGCCTGCTTTCTGTTATCCTTCAATATCAAACCCAGGAAATTTAGGGTCACCTATTTCAGTTGAAAGTTAATTGAATATCTCCACAGTGAGGAGTGATAGTTCTTCACCAGTGCAGAGGGTTTAATTACTTACGTATAATGGCATTATTAACATTATAAATCTCTCGTAGTCAAGCAAACTGTATTTGGCCTTTTTATGAGGGAAGCTTCATGTTTTCATTGCGTGCTGTCATCCAGCAGAAGTACTGCTATCGTTGTTGTTTGCTTTTTGTAAGATGTAATATGAAACTTGTACTGTTGAAATTCACCTCTGTGCTTTGTTATTAAAGTCCAACACCCAGCACTGCAGTAGCTACAATGCCAGTTCCTCCCTTTTACCAAGTCACTGTAAAACGATCATGTTATTTGGTTAATCCACCCCAAATTCTCAGCTTTTTTTGTTAATGAAATAGACCTAATGATAATTTTGGAGCTTTTCAGAAATGAGATGCCTTAAAAAAGTGCTGTTTGTGAATAAGTTTCATTTGCTGATGCAGTCATAGCTTGGTCATCTTTATAAAGAATGATATGTAAATGTGCAAGGTAAACATTAATAAAAATAGTAGTATCTCATCAGAAATATAATACGTATGTTCTGTAAATGTCTAACTTGGATAAGAAGTTTTACAATGGAAAATATATTCATTATATAACAATAAGATGCACAAGTTCAGACCACATGAATGTTGTAGACCTTGTATTGATGTTTCTCTAACAACAAACTTGTTACCTCTCGTGAGAGGGTAACAAATGTACCCTCTCACGAGAACATTTTTGTAGTTCAGTTTAGTTCCACTCCCTCGTGTAAATCACGGGGATTTTGATGGGGTTCTGAGGTAGATGCCAAAGTGCTGCTTATGAGACATGTCAGCCTGACAGGTACAGACAGGCGATATGAGCACATCGTTGTACTGTTTGATTCACCTCTGGGTGAATGGGTCCAGACACCCATGGATATCAGAAAGGAAAAACTTGAAAAAAGGAATCTGTGGTGGAGGTTCTGGTCTGCTTTATTTTGTTATGGGGAACAAAAATGTGCAGCTGTTGCTTGCTTGACCATAAATGGAGATGATCTGGGCTTTCTCCAGTGGGATTAGAAGTCTGCCACTAGAGCATGTTTCTTCTCATAAATTTATTTAGAGATCCAGTTGATGTTTGGGATAATGTCCAAAGAGATGTGTTATACTTCAACAAACCAGCTCCTTTATTTAAATAGTAAGACTTCTACTCATATTGGTGATAATTTCCTGGCCTATTTTTGACTTTTGTGTGCTAATTTTTAAAATTCCAGCTGTAGATACTGGCCACCTGTATAATCTGTGTAGAGAGTTTGAGATGTCAGTATCTGGCCTGTTGCTGATCCATGACTCTGCATAGAAATGAACCGTAACCCAAGCCCACTTATTTATAATGCACAAGTAAAGAAATTCAGCAGTAAGTCTGAGTACTCAGATTAGTGTGTTATCCCACAGTGCTACTGCAGTTTTCTCTCATACTGCAAATGTACCTCTGTGATACCACACTGCTAAGGTTCCTGTGTTGCACGGGTTTGATTTGAAAGTAAATAAAAACAAAGAGAAGGGAGAAGGAAATGCTCCCACAGATGTGCACCAGTTTGTGCGTGTAGGTGAGACAGAATAGCAGGTTTTGGTATTGAAGCTGAATGCTGTAATGAGATCTTTCCTTTTTGTAACCAGTATTTTTCTGGCCTGATTCTGAGATGCTTCCTGCAGCATGTGGAGTTGCTTGTAGCCCTTCAGGCGTGTCAGAAAATGCGGTTTATGAGACACTTTTTGCTGATCTCTGCTAAGGGAAAGGACCCAGCTAATGTATCTTTCAGTTATATTTGTACTGCAGGTCTAATACAACCTAAAGGGAGATGGGAGGTTTTTCATTCCTCTAAAAATACAGGGAAAGCAATACTTCCGTCTGGTGTGAACAGCTTTCCAGATTTACATCAGGTAAGGAGACAGCCTTATCAATTTGGAGAGAGTAACTTTTTTTATGCCTTTGAGGTTTAGTGGTTGAATTTGATAGATTTATGATCCATATGTTCATATGTTTTACCTGATGCCTCATGTAATGCTTACCTGAATTCAGTGATTCTCACTCACATCTGGAATCTCAGTGTTATTTGGATGTACGTGGACAGAGTTGCCTTTCTGAGGCTGCAGATTTTTCTACTTGTATAATGAGACTTACAGTCTCTGTTAGCATTATAGAAAACAGCTCTGCTGAGAAATCTAGGCTTTAATTGTGTTATTCTCCTCTGGGACAAGGAGTATTTACTTTTCTAAGCATTGGGCAGTCATTAAATTAGTTTGATCTTCACATTTTGTTCTTCCTTATAAACAAGGTTAACTTACTTTTGAAGATGCAGTTTGTGAAGCACACCACTGCCAAGTGATTAAAAAAACTGTACAAAATAAATTAATAAAAAACTGTACAACTTGGGCTGAAATATTTCTCATTTTGGATTGCTGAAGGCTCTGGCAGGACTAGTCATTTGTTACTAACCAGAGACATTTTTGGAAAGGTCAGCTTGAATGTTTTAATTTCAGGCGCTGTTCCTGGCATGAACTTTTAACCATTAAAGTAGATCACAGGGCTCAGAAGTGTGTAACGCCTGTTTGCTTTGACCCAATGTTAGGAGAGAAGTAGGGGACAAGAAATTTTACCTGGCTTGTGCTCAGAAAATCCACCATGTCCTTCCTCTTCCCATATCCCCATAGGGAGCACTTATTTCACTTGGAACCAACACAGTTAGCACAGACCTCACTCACAGCTTTTTTATTTTGCAACAAAGCAGTGACAGCACAAAAAGCTGTGCTCTTTCAAATACCTGGTTGCTTGCGTATCACTTAAATGTACTTTTTTTACTAGATTAATGAAAGTCAAATAGTTGAATAGTAGCATTTCATTTCAGTGGTGCAAAGCATCTTGAAAATTAACCCCATGATACAGAATATGAGGTTTGGTGATCTTCATTATAGTGGAAGGTTTTTTATTTCTATTAAATGCTTGGGAGAACGTTATTTTGGTGTTTACTGGTGTCCTCAATTTGTTAAGCGGAACAATGTGCTTTAGGTGGTGTGCTGAGATCCTTATACCTAAGAAACTGTGTTGAGTGTCTTTGAGATAAACTGTTCTAGGAAGCGCAGAGATTAGTTGTGTTATTTGACATGTTATGAGTGATGGATGAATGGCGGGACAAAGACATATGAAGTAGAGATAAGTTTGGAAGACCATGTTCCAGTTGCCAAGTGGTGGTGCTGGATTATCTCCACTTAAACAGTAACTGCAGAATGGAAGAGAAACGATTGGGGTTTAGATTTAGCTGCTACCTATCTTCAGCTGAAGGTTGTCCTAACAGAAATGCACAAGCGTTGCCCAAATGATGAACTCGTTAGCAGCATTTAGAAGATGGAGTCGCTCGTGCAGGGTATTGTGGTAACCACCTTCCTGTCGTGTCGAGGCGGGGAGCTTGTCGACCAGTGGCCTCAACGTCTTGCCTGACCGGGATCTTCATTCAGATCAGTATGGAGATCGCATAGATCAGACATTTCAAGGGTTTTCAGATTAATTTGTAGCTGGTCCTATTTTGAGATGTGCATATGGGAAATGTGAACTGGAAACCCCTTTCTTTCTCTTGGTGTTACAGAATGGCATCTTTCTTTTGTTTGCTTGCTACTTCTGGCCAGTGCCTT